ACTTGCCCCCCCCCCCCCCCCCCCCTCCTACCGTCTCCTCAGGGAATGCGGTCAGCGAGCCCCCCCTACCGGCTGCGCTCGTCATGCCCGAGCGTCGTCTTCATCCTGAAAGCTCTCAAAGACGCCGGCCGCGCCCATGAGGTGGCGCCGTTTTTCGATGAATTTCTCGAGTCACTGGTGAGTACATGGGTCGGTTCCATTGCACGCACACCCCTTTTCCTTTGGGGTGGCACCGATAGGCTTACGTGCTTCCTACTCTCATGCTGTCGCGTGCGGTTTGGTTAACATCAACTTGTTGAGTTTTTGTGTCTTCTTTCGATTTGGCGTGTGCTTTTTGAGTGTTTCTGGAGAGGTGGTGTTTAGGTGCGCCCTTCTGTGACGATTGCTCCGCGTGACTAATAGGTCAGGGTTTTCCCATGCCCCCTCCTCCGCACACGCGCCAACCTTCGTTTTGGTTAAGACAGGTTTTCGTTTTTGTCTCACGCACGTTTCGTTCGGCGGTGTACCACGTTTGTTCTCTTACTTTATGTCCTTTGCGAGTTCATATAAAGTTCTGCGCGACACAGGAGGGGCGTGAGTGCGGTGGGAGTCAGGGTTCGGCTAGACTTTGAAGGTTCTGTGCCTCAAGGCAGAACGACATCTAGTCTACAGATACAATAGTTTGTACCTCCTCCATTGAGCAGTTGAAAAATCGAGAACAACAGCAGTGTCGCGTTCACCCGTTACGCAATCGTAGTGCTGTGTCGATTCGTGTGCTGGTAGGATGCTTCAAGAATGATGCAATTTGTCCTTGTCCTTGTCGGTCTGAGTGGTGTTTTTTGTTTTTGTTTTTTTGGTGTTGCGTGGGTGACAGGGAGCACGTGCCGTCCAACCAAGCCCGGAGTGCTTCGCAATCGTAGCCGAGGCAAGAGCTCGGGACGAAACGGCAGCTCCCAGGACTGAAGCGGCGGAACCTCTCGAAGAGGAACCAGGGGTCGACCCCAGAGGTGGTAATGACACCGAGAGTGAGCTCTCCGTACATGCATAAGGTGAATAGACTTGGTTTTTTTTATCGGCCTACAGCGGCTCGATGTGGCACAAGTGCTTACCGAATCCGCTCTCCCCCCCCTTGACCCTAATTGTTGGAGGGAGGGCGTGTGGAGTGCGCTTGCGCGGTTTTGGTTTTGGTTTCGGCTGGCGCGGTGCGACTTGACGTTTCAGCAACAGAGACAGCTTGTCTTTGCTCTGTAGGTCCACGTCGTTTCGGCGCGCGGTCAAGCAGGTAAAAGTGTGAGAAGAAGAGTTGGTTTCCGCTTGATTTCGCAAGCGCCCGAGGCATACATGTACGCTGGCGTGCGACATGGGGCTCAGGCGCTCGCCATGTGCTCGGAGGGCGCAGCGGCTAGGCGTATTTTTGTTGCCTTGTACGCCAAGCTTGGCGCCATTTCACGAGATAGCGCTGTGTGTGTCGTGTCTGTATCGAACCTTCTATCAAGATGAGTGCTCTCATTCCGTGTTGAGCCCCACCCACGGGTGTCAAGATGCCTTCCGGTCATCTGACATCCCGCCATTGTGTTCGCCGTGTCGACGTGCTCGGCTTGAGATCCGAAGGTCTCGGCTCACGAACACGAGCAACCGCCCCACATGGTACTGAATACCCCCCCCCCCCCCGCACACTCTTCCCCTTGTCAATGATTCAATAGGCGGCGCAACTGGTGCCGGTTCGGCTCGCGACCGAGCACTGACCCGTCCGATCGGAGGCGTGATTCCAAGCGATTCCAGCAGAACGCTGCACGGGGTGTTCTGCAGGGCCTATTGATCTTGGTCCCAGTCGGTATTTTTCTCACCGTGGCGAAGCCAATGGAATCGGCAACTCGATTGGTTCGGTTTCTGTTTTGAATTCCCTGTAATAAGGTGTTGTGCATTTAGTTTATGTTGGAGCGCTGGGATTGTCTCGGTTCTGTGCTGTTTTGAGGGGAATCGTGAGAAATTGGTGCGGACTTCCAGTTGTTCATGACCTTGTCTGGTTGTCACCAAGACACGGCCGTGCCGGCCCTCTACATAACGATAAATCCTGCCAAAAGAAACTGACAAGTTGTACAGAAGCGTGTGTATGGTAGGAGGTGTAGTTCTTGTCTATGATGAACAATGCCGTGATGCGATCAGGTCTCATGGTCTCCCGAGGTTGCGTCCCTTGTCAGTTTCGCCGCATTTATTTGCCGATTAATTACTGCTTGCTGCTTGCCCTTTAAAGGGGTGCAGGGATTAGCCTCCCGTATGGTGCGAAGCCCGTTGGCACCTTTACAGTGTGCGAAGGGTGGTCCACACTGCTGTGAACGAGTCAGAAGTCGAGCCCCAGGCAAAATAGGTGGGCTGTAGCGCTTGTTTGTGTGAGCCACGGTGCAGCATGGCATCACGAGGTAATGAAGCCGTAGTAGTAAGGACCCGATGTGATAAAGCCATGACGTCTTCATGGTGTTCCAACACCCGTACAGACCATCGCATGTGACAGCAGTGCATTGCCAGGAGAGCAGTGCCACCATGAGGTGTCGACTGCTGTGCCATGGCCCAGTCATGATGAAACTAGAAAACGTTGGGCTGAGCCCACTTCTTACGTGCCGAAGCCATGGGCTCGTCCGTCAGCGGTCCGGCGAGTATTTTCCCCGAGATGAGCTCGGATTTTTCACTGCGGGTTGTATGAGTTCATCAAGCAAGGTGGTGAGCTTGAGCTCCGTTCCAAAACTCGAGACGATTTTCCGTCGGCTCCTGGGACAATTTCCGCCCAAAGCCGAACGTCCAAGGTAGGAGATGTTCAAAGATATGAAAAAGGCTGGAGATTTGCCTCGAATTCGCGAAGTACTTCTGCATTACATAGACTAGTGTGTTTGATAGCGCTCCGCTCATCGAAGCGTCAAGAGTCATCGACTACCGTACAGTAGGTGGCACGAGATACCACACCCCCAGGATCGATTGTCGAAGAGCGATTGCTCCACACGACGGAGAGGTTGCATAAACGAAACGATGCGTTTTCGAAAATTTCTCGGCGAGACGGCTCCAACTCCGCCGTTTTCGGCACGGCCACTCACTGCTGTTGCCGGTGTGGAGAATCCATGTTTGAAAATCCATCCTGGGGTGTGATATCGAATGTAATGTAGTCCAATGAGGCGAACGTTGATTGGCACAACGTTTTACAAGGCTATTGCTGTACCATGTAGCAGTCATGTGATACGCATAAGCATTTTTGGTTCTTTGCTCGCCCGATCTAATTTGTTACTTCGCGTACGCCAAAACCGCGGCGACACGAGATGAAGAGCGAATTGCCTGCAACTACCTGCTATGATCAATAGTCATCCGTCGATACATGTGTCACACCAAGCAGCAACAGCAGCAAGATCAGCAATGTTCTGTTGGATCATGCTGTGGCCATTAAGTTGGCGAGAGAACCGGCGAGCGCGTGGCGTGGGCGCTGCTGCTGTTGTGCATGAACAACACGATCCAGATTTTCTGGATTCAAAATTCAAATATGCCGGGGGCGCGCAGATAGGACACTGATCATTTTTACGGTACCCATTTTGACATGATTGGGCCCCGGCCGGTTGGATGGCTCTTGTCTCGAGGTGCTCTTGGTCGCGCAGGCACTCTCGTTCTCTCTCCCTCTCGAGGCAGGACATCCACCACTTTCAACCATGGGCAAGGTTCACGGATCGCTGGCTCGTGCCGGTAAGGTGAAGGGGCAGACGCCCAAGATCGACAAGATCGAGAAGAAGAAGCAGCCGCGCGGAAGGTGTGTGTTGTCGTGTGTTTATGTGGTGTCCCGTCCCTTACGCAGCACTCAGCGCGTGGTGTCCGTGTCCTGCTGGCCTCACGCCCGTTCCGAAAGAGGAGAGAGTGTAGTCTAGGCATAGCCATTGGTTTGGAAGTGGGTCTTGTGCCATGTTTCGTGGGAGAAAGATGCTCTCCAACTCCGTTGTTGTTATTTGGTGCGAACACTTTTGCCCTCTCTCTCCGTCCAGCAAGCACGCCCACTCGCGAGGCTACATATGTATCAGACTTCACTGCCTTTGTCCACTCTGCACAAACTGGGTTTCATCAAAGCGGGCACTCGCACCAATATTGAAGCTTGCGTTCACACCAAGCTTGCTCCTTTTTGAGCACGGCAATTCTACACGTACTCGTGCAGCGGCTGAGCTGCTTTATCTGATCTTCTGTCGGGCCGAAAAACACACATTGCTCTTAGAATGTCTATAATAGAGTCTAGACTCGGTGTGTAGAACTGCTGTGTACTGGTGCAGCTGTACAGCAGACTGCTGGTCTGGTGGTCTGGTAGTGCATGCCGCAAGTTGTTGCATAAGATACCACACCCCCTGGACCGATTTTCAAAGCTCGGTTGCTCCACAACGAAGAGGATGCCAATATGAAACGATTCGTGTTCGGAAAGCTCTCGACGGGACGGTTCCAACGCTCCCATTTTCGGGCACCGTCGCCGCTTGTCTTGCCGTGTAGTTGAGCTGTGAAAAAACGGTCCAGGGGGTGTGATATCTTATGCAATCTACGGACGGTAGTACAGCACCCGAGGTTTTCAACGTTGTGCGATTCCGATCGCCATTGCCTGCGAAACGACGGAAAACGGGGAACCACCGCGTCTTGTTGGTTTCATGAATCGCCTCTATCGAGCCACGTACCTGTCTTGTTCTTTTCATGTCGTTGCAGCAGGTGTGTAGTTTTTGTACGCCACTGAAAACACCTCCCAAGCAGGATTTGTTATGGTGGTGCCACGGCGTACGTACCTTTGGTTTGCATCGTACGAGCTCTGCTCGTATATATGCGAGAAACCAAACTATGCGTAGCATATGGTGGAACTAAGTACGTGCAGCAGCAGCACCATCCGTGCATGCAGCAGCAGCACCATCCGTGCATGCAGCAGCAACACCAGCCGGCAAAGGCTTGCGATTGTCGGCAAGCTTTAGCTTGGTACGTCAGTCCACAAGCGGCAACCCAGAGAACCCTGCCACAACTTTGAACAGGACTCAACCCATCCAACCAGATTTTACCCCACCGTCAGCCAACCTTAAGTTGCGGCCGACAGCAGCACAATGTAAAATGTCCCCCGAGCTTGTAGGTTCACGCAACCTGTTCCTTGACACAACCAAAACCGAAAGGGGTTCTGCGCGCCCAGCATATTTTGCACGACTTCGCAATACATTTCTGGTAGCTCCTTGAATCCCCTCCCTGTTTCGCGAGTGTTTGGTCCTTGCATGTATGCGCGTTCAAGCCGCCCTGCGTCGTTCTGTGTTGACTGCAATGTACGACATGGTTTGCCCCCGCCCCATAGCTCGAAACTGGATGAGAAAAGTTGGTGCCCGCACGCCGCTGTAGTCGCCCCCTTTGCCCCAGCCATTGTACAACCCACCCGGTGGCATGTGACGCCGGGCTTGCCTTTTTTGCGAGCGCTCCAGGGGCGGCCCATGTTGTCTGACCAAACGTGCTGATCAGCCTTGACAGCGTTTTATCGTGATGCACCTCTACCAAACCTAAACCATTCCGGCGCCTGCTGTTCCCCGTCTTCTGGTGACTGTTTTCTTGTTCTTGTGTAGGGCGAAGAAGCGCATGCAATACAACCGACGCTTCGTCAACGTCGTGACCGGCGTGGGCGGAAAGCGCCTGGGCCCCAACTCCAACGCCGCCAAGGTCTAAGGAAAACCCTTGTTGATTGGTTGTGCTCCTGTGAGCAAAAAGCGCCGGGCTGTTTGGAGCGCGAGTGCACTGGGCAAGGCGTCACCATGGCGGAAGCGGGGGGATAGCGAATGGAGGGACACGGGGGAAGAGAAGGGGCAGATGGGCGTTGAGCGCCGTGTCTGTGTTTCGTCAACGTTTCCTTTTTTTGTTGTGTTGCTCTTGCTTTCGTTCGGGCGTCTAAAGCGTGGAGGTCGTAGCAGCAATTGCCGTTCGCAGCCTTTAGCGGACTGTGTTTTGTCACAAGGCTAAATTTTGCTGGGCGGTCGCTTGCGACTTGGATCGGTCCGACTTTTGCTAGAACTTCGAAAATGTCAGCTTGAGCTTACTAGGCGACTTCGGGTTCGAGCGAGCGCTGCTCCTCCGAGAACGAGAGACAAAAAAAAAAATCCAAAAACGGAAGTGGTTTGCCCACTGCTGGGTGTGACAACATTTGCAACGCACTTGGAACCGCTGACAGATGCGGCCTAATCCTTGTAGTGGTTCGTGCGTTCCAAGGACGCATGTATGTGTCCCGTACCGTCATGCACGAATAACCCTTCCTTCGTTTGCGCCGCGTTTTTTTTCGCGGACGGACTGAGCTGCACACAGCTGCTGTTGTTTCGGTCGGCTTGAAGCGCGTGTTGCCGACTCCGCACGGCTCGACAAAAAACGGAGCCAAGTATGATGACAACACGCGCGTACACTACACCTGCCCGGTTAGCCATCTCTGAAGCGGTCGTTGTCGGGGTTTTCCTCTGATCAAAGCCTTGATTGACGGAGGACCTGGTAAAAGTGAAAGTGACTTGAACGGATTCAAATTCACCGTTCAGCTTGATAAAAAGACTCCTTGGTCTTAACGTACAAGGTCATGAAGTTGCCCACTTACGTGCATGGTAGGCGACCATTGACGGGTCAATTACTTGGCGCATCCCATGCCTCGGGCATAAATACAGATGGAAGAGATACCGACACATCAGTGGAACACACAATTTTGTACGGCGAGGTCACTGCCGAGCGGCCTCCTTCTGTCACGAACTCTGAGCGGAACGCCTTCAAAAATACAGTTCTCCACAAGCCAGGCTCGCCCGAACGATCCCCAGCATCCGGCACCAACTAGATACCATCACAGCCACCTGTTTTTCGCAACAGGACGACCCCCACCCGTCCGCCCTCGGCCTGCTACTTGAATCGTTCGTGCGGTGCAAACAAAAATTCTCTCGAGTCACACCGACCGTTAGATGCTGAGGTGCACACAGGAGCCATGGCGGTTGGTCAATCAACACCACAGATGCAATGCGACAACCTATGTGCACTATGGCGGCAGGGCTGAGTACAGCCGCTTGCTCGGTTCATCTTCGCAGGATTTTGCCGCCTCCCACCCTTCGCCAACCAAGTGGTATTGCAGGGTAAATACTCTGGCCCCTCCCCTCCTCAGCCTTGTTAGCAACACCTGAGCGAGAGAGAGGGAGACGTCGCAAATAACACAGCCAGATATCATAGGTACATGACATGTCGATCTACATGTAGCGAGCGTGGGATGAAAAGATCGTTCCGTTGTAGATTCGAAGAATCGAGAGAAATCGGCCACATATTGCTGGACAGATCGCATTCGTTGATCTTGTCGCGTAGTCTTGCGACCAAAAGAAAGCTGTCGACGCCAAACGCACCACACTCTTGACCAAGGAACCCAAAACGTGCCATTCGATTAGCCTGCTGCCGTGTCGCACCCCGTGAAACCACCCATGAATTTTCCCGTGGTACCGGTATTCCGGTCGGCACCCCCACATCCAAAGCGCGAATTATGACGCTAGGCCTTCGCTCTGAACACCATGACCGTCTGCTAGAGATATCGACGCTTGCGTGAGAGGTGCAGGAGTACAACCGTGACAAACGGAGCAGACAGCAGCCGTTGTTTGGATCGTTGGGGGAGGGGTGTAGACTAGAGGAACACGCCAAATCGGCATCGAATCTGTTCGTGCGGTGCCTCGGACTTGACTCTTTGTGCCCTGCATGGCCTACACGCGACGGTACAAATACATCGCCAACCAACACCTGTCCGAACTTCCTGTTCATATATCCCACCCAAAAACGTGTGTTCAAAACCAGTCGTAATTAACGGTTGTACTGGACAGGAGATGAGATAGAAAGCAGTCGAGACACTCTACCTCTAGCTGGGCGAGGAGCGTGGGGTAGGCGTACAGGAAGACGACCGTAGTCACCGACAGTCCCAACTCATCGAGCACCCCGGGGCGAGTGGCATCCGTGCAGTGCCACGACAGCAGGTCGGAAACCCCCTCTGCCCTGCCGATATCTTCGGCAGATGATATGCACGCCTATTTTTTTGGAAGGGTGCGGAGTCATGTTAGACCATTGACCACGGGGAGAGGGGGGTTGTACTCATATTCGTGCATGCCGTAGTCGTTAGACCATTGACCACGGGGGGAGGGGGGTTGTACTCATATTCGTGCATGCCGTAGTCGTTACACCATTGACCTGGCATCCCTACAAAGCCGGGACGGAGCACGCCGGGTTTTCACCGGACCAGGCTCTCACATCACCAAGCGCGAAGCGCCGTGAGGTGTTCGGCGAGTCGCATGTGCGCTGCATCCTGCGAAGGGTGTTCGGCATCTTGTGCTTACTTCCTTGCGTACGGATGACAGTTGCGTATGACTTAATTTATTTCTGGTGCTTCCACTTCCAGAGACAGTTGTAAGCACTGTGGCTCTGCCTCGAGGATGCTTGACCATTTTAACACAACGTGGTGCGATCATCCCCTTTGCGCGGAGTGAGGGTTGTCGACCCCGCAAAACATTATCTAC